AGAATCTCGGTAATTGACTGCAAACCATCCGTCAGGATTTTGACCAAAATCTTTAACTCTGTGTTTAGCAGAGTTATAGGTCTGTAGTCATCTAGATCCCGCCCAACATACTTGCCCTTTTTCAACAGCGTGATCACACCTTTGGAGATCCGGTTGTGGACGGACCCTTGGCGGAACCAGTTGTTGAACTTGGCAGTCAAAATCGAGACAAAGATGTACGACAGCCTCAAGTACAATTCATAGGGCAAACCATCCAGACACAGTGAATTGCCTCTGCCAACATTTTTCAATGCCGTGTAGACCTCGCTCTCCGTGATCTCTTCCTCGCAGCTAGTCGCTTCAGTCGGCGAAAGCCGGTGAAAGTCAGCCAAATAGCTACGAAACTCTTCGTCACAGAGAACAGGCTCCTTGGTAAAGCGACTCTCGAAATGCCGCCGAAACGCCTCACACACCTCATCAGTCGACCGCAGAATACGTCCCTCCGTGGTCTTGAGCTCTCGAATGTAGTGATCGGAAGCTCGACGAATCTCTTCCTTGCACAATTCTGCGCCCATTCTCACAGCTTTGGAAGACATCTTGCTTAACTTATGTCTAATTACCTGACCCATATAGCGCTTGCTAGCCAAACGCTTCAGGGCCTCTCTAGCTACGGCTATCTCTAGGGGATCCCCCCAAGACTACGCCCGCGAAAAACTATCCTTAAGAGCCTTCACCTTGTTACACTAGAGCGAACCGTTTGCTAAAATCGGTGGTGAAGGACCTAATCCTATCCTTAAGCCTCTCCTACTACATATTCCCAATAACCGCCCCCACTAGTTCCCGCTGTACTACGCTGGTTAGCTGTTCATGGAAGTCCCGCCTGTCCTGTAAAGAGAGATTGAACTTTCAATACCCACCCATTCTAGGCCTACGATCTAACGCCATGAGTCTGTAATTCGAATAGACTAACCAGGGGAACGTGAGACAATCTAGTAGATCTATGTCGGCTCTTCTGACTAACATTTTATCCAGGTAGTTGGCTATCCGGATAGACGGACACTAAGGTGCCCACGTCCATATTTCCCCCTCTGGGTGATCGACCTGGTATCTATCGATGAGACCAAACTCGCCGATCAGATTAACCAAACTACGATCACCCACCTTCCGGCTAGCTCTCCGCCCCTGTCTATCTTGGGGTCCCGGAGGGCATTCCAGTCCCCTACTAGAACTAGGCGTGTTGAATCCACCAGGAACGGACCTAACTGCCGAAAAAAAACGAGACGCGCTCCTCTCGGTTGTTGAGCGCATAAACCGCAACCATCTGAAACGAGCCACTTTTCACAGCAATATCGGCCACAATCAACCGACACTCGGCATCTGCATGGACAAGGTCCACCCTCGCTCCCTGTGTACGCTTCACCAGCAAAGAAACCCCTCTCGTCTGTCGTTGCCAGTATGCCGAATAGACGACAAAGTCGTTAGACAGCACACACGCATCGACGTTAGAAACAATTGGATCGCGGCGACATCCACACCGAACGACAAGAGGTCACGAAATTGCCGGACCGCCTTACTCCGAATCCTCAGGCCATTCGCATTCAGACTGGCTATCTTGATAGACATTTTTTAGGGTTGAAAAGAGGAAAAAACAACAATTAACCGATTCACATACATGACGGAATTCTGAAGCTGAAAGGACACCAACGAATTGTCCCAGGCTTCCTGTGCCCAACCCCAACGCCAACCATCCATTCAGGACAATTCCGCCAACGTTCATAGGATAGGTTAGTTTTACTACCCTATATAAGGAGAAATGGAGAAACACCGGGACCCTCCCTGCGCAAAATCTCATTAATTTCTTCAGGTCGGGCAAACTCAACCCAAACATCCTTATCTCAGGGAATGTGTCTTTGGCCTCAAAGAGGTGATTCCACACTTTTAAGTAGCCCCTAGTGTCTCTCACGCAAGTGATAACCCCTTGGACCTTGCCAAAATTGCTGGGGTCGTCTGTAGACTTCCCATCCACTGTAGTTATTTTAGATAAAAGGCCTAATAAGGCTTTTTTTCTGGTTGGACAGGCCTTTATCTAACTCTTTCCTGTCTACTTTGCAATAGCATCAGGGTTGAGTAAGAAGTGGATGAGTGAGGGGGAGTAGACATTGAACTGGCGGAGGAGGTGGAGGGAGAGAGGGGAGCTAGGGTAGATAAAGGTGGGGGCTCCTTGCTTTGTGTAGGACAATTTCGGAAACTTCCTTTGGCACCGCAAGGACGGATAGGGACCTGGCTTTGTCCATGTTCCTTTCTTCCCTGCTTCATCCAGTATGCTTTTCCATTGGTTTATCTACTACGCCTTACTTCTCCCGAGGCGGAGGCATTTCCTCAACCTCCATCTCCGTTTCGCGTCGTAGGTTGTGCTTGTTGCTGTGGTTGTTGTTTTTGTTGCTGTTTCTCTTGTTGACCTTGCTGTTGTTCCTGTTTTATGTTTCTTTAGTGTCTTCTGCCTCTCTTGTTGCAGCGTTTTCTATTGTTGTTGTTGCTGTTGTTGCTGCTGCACCTCATGACGTTGCTCATGCGTGGTGGTTGACGTTGCTTCGGAAGTCGAACTTCCCGATGTTGGGCAGAGGGTGGGTTTGTCGCCTTTTTTCTCCTCTTCACCTACGTCCAGACCTCGTTGGGGGCCTTTTCAGCTTCTGTTGCTGCTAGTGCTGTTACTGTCGTTGTTGCTGCTGCTGTCGTCGCCGGTTGTGGTTGTGCTACCACCTTCTTCCCGGGGCACGCCTTTGACATGTGCTCCGGGGCACCACACGTCCAACAAAAGGGTCGTCGGCCTTCTACCACGACGAGCATCCGTTCGTTTTCACGGCGCATCAGCATGTTGGGGATCTTGCCAAAGCTCTGTCGAGTGAGAGTTACTTGAAGAACGATATCCCCAGTTCCGGATTTACTGCACTGATCTCGTCCGCCTGTCCGTACTTGGCGAAAAAAGCCCTCATCCGGTCTTAGCTAATGTCCGCCGACACACCGTGGACCGTTATCCTCGTCTTACATGTCCCCGTCTGGAACCTCACTGTCTTGGCCATTAGTATACACCCGGCCAGCTTTTTTTTTTTGCTTCTTCGCTAGCTAGGAGAATATTCCACATCGCATTCGATCCCTTGGCTAAGACGTTTGGTGAAACGCTCAAATTCTTTAGCTCCTCTTCCATGGTTTCTCTGCTGACCCCAATTAATTTCCGACTCTTCACGTCGGTGGTCAGCAGGGAGATTGTACGCGTATTTAGGGCGTTCAATGCTTCTGGAATTGTGAGTAATTCCTTTCTATTAATGAATTCCTCATATTTGCTCTTTAAATCGTCATAGTAAGGCGCATCCTTCTTCGGCCTTTTTTTTCCTTCCAGGCTCTTTGCTTTACTTCGCCGGGTTCCGGCAGTGAATCCTCAGCGTCACTCATTGGCTACCCTAATTTAGAGCTGCCAATAATAATTCTTTTTTTAATGTTCTTTTATAATTTTCAAACTAAGCAAAAAACGAACTAGAGTCAAAGGTGGGCCAACAAAAGAAAAATAAATAAAATTTGTCTTTGCCAAAAAAACAAGTCACACGTATAAAACACAAAATAAGAAAACAGAAATGGGTCAAGGGAGCGTCTTTAAGACTCGGCTTACTGAAAATAAAACAAGTCACACGTATAAAAAAGATTAAAGTGAGACGAGGTAAAAAACAAAAAAAGAAATGAGGGGATGTTAAAAATTAACGCTTGGTTAATAAAACCAAGTGGAAACCAAAAATTACAGCTTAGAAACTAAAGTGAGAGACGGGGGGAGATTAAAACTCGACTAAAATATGAAAGAGAATAAATTGGAAAAACGCCTACAGGTGGAAAATTAAATAAAAATTAACAGAAAAAAAATAAGACTTAAGGAATTAAACTGAAAAATAGAAGAAAGAAAAGCTTCAAAAGTGAAAAGAAAAATTAAATAAAAGAACGTGAATTCAAGTCAGTATGGCAAATAACTAACGCTGGACAAACAAACAGATCTTCCAGGATAGGGTAGAAATAGTGATCCAATAAGAGTGAACAGTGATCGTACATTCATCACTCTACTTCCTATTTATTCACTTCCTTTATGATCACGTGATCTACTAAATAATGGAATCGCCTGTGTTACTCACTGGCGATCTAGTTTCAAACCACAGTGTCGGCAACGGCACTTAATCTTATGCAACATTAGTGATCAGGGCTATCTACAGATTTCGTTTCATTTTTTTTTTTTATCTGTGAATTGCCATAAGTTCTTTTGAAAAACAGCAGAATTCCTATACCATGATTTTGAATTCATAGTTATCCTAGATTGGTTGCCACAACAAGCTAGAGAGACAAGTTTATCCTGCTATTTAGCCTACAGCTAGAGGAAAAAGAGATGGATTCGTTCCTTTCCCAAAGACATTTGAGCCGAACAAGTGCTTGCTAGTGAAATGAAAATATTGTGGAATATGAAAGTTACGACTGACGTTCTTCAAACAGCCCCGGAGAATATTACAAAATACTGCAAAAATTAGAAATCCTAGGGAGGATTGAAATCGTCTAGGAGATAGTATTATTAAAATCAGTAAGAATACTGAGTTGGTTGCGAGAGTATTTAGAAGACTTGCTGTCACATGATCTCTAGTGAAAGCCATCAGATACAGTTGTAAACAAAAAAAACTTAAACTTAAAAATAACTAGATCTTGCGTGATAGCATTTGTGAAAGATCGAGGTGACAGTTGTACCCATCATTATAAGAAAACTTTGAACAGTCACGAAGGACGGTTCAAAGTTTTTTTTTCTCGCAAGTTTCATAAGGAGTTGTGAACCTTCCGAAAGATCTGGAAGAATTGGTAATTCAAAGGAAAATCTTATCTTAATTATCATGTGAAAGTCCTTTGTTGGACGTAGGCCTTATCCAGATCTTTCCCTTTGACGTTCCTGGGGAAGAATGGACCATTAACCCAACCGCTGGTCCAATGAATGGTGGCCGGGGCTTACAGTACATGGTATTCCCAAGTGGTCACCCATCTAGGTACTGACCAGGTTTAATGTTGCTTAACTTCGGTGACTGGCCGAGAATCGGTGTTTCAACGTGATATGTCAGTAAGCCAAAAAAGACTCAAAATGACTCAACTAATAACATTTCGCGGTTTTTCTATTTGAATCTTCTGAAGAATATTAATTCTTAAGTTAATGATTGAATACATTCATTACGATTTCCACGACTATAAAATATCCATGGAAATCCCTCTGTTGCCTCGTTAAATATTTGGGCTTAACATCTTTAACACACTCTTTCAATAATAATCATAAATATGAAAGCAGGTTATTATTTAAAGAAGTAAGAGGGTAAAAATGATTTAAAAACTGACAAGATTTTCCTGGAAGCAGACGTGAAACCTATGAGAGTGTTATCGCCTCCTCTCTCTTTCTTTCTTTCTTTCTTTCTTTCTTTCTTTCTTTCTTTCTTCAAACAAAACAAATCTATATTTTCTTCCACTTTGAGGACAGGGGACAGGCAAGCTATTACAGCTCTATACTAGCAACCAAACAGGAAATGTCCATTGTTTATGCGAGGCGTAAATGCGAGCCGTAAAGTAAGCACTGACTAAGGAACGAAATAACAGACAGAAATATATGATACGCACACATAAACACACAAAAACACACACACACGCACACACACAAACACGCACACAAATACACAAACACACGCAAACACACACACAAACACACACATAAACACACACACAAACACGCACACAAACACATACACAAGCAAACACACATACACAAGCAAACACACACACACAAATACGCGCACAAGCACACACACCCGCACAAACACAGACACAATCACAAACATACACACACAAACACAAACACAAACATACACACAAACACACACACAAACACACACACATAAACACACATACAAGCACAAACACAAACACAAAGAAAAACACACACACACGCACACACTTTGAATGAAATGGACATCAGTGTGGCGATCATCTTGCCGTCTGCAAAGCGACAGGTACCGAACTAGTAGAATTGAGATCTCATCATTTTTCATGATTTTTTTTCTTCACTGCTAAAAATAGAACAATCGATGGCCAGTAATACGGTGTCGCCGACTGAGCGCTATGCGGAGGTAGTGTTGAACAGGTCATGTAAGCAAGATCACATTTTTTTTTACCAATCGGAAGGCACCATAGATTGACTCAGAATTCTATATTTAGCCTTTTCATCTGGTGGTCCCTCACGCACACGCCTAGCACATGCTATAGTTTCTATCCCTATAAACCGATCAACCAAAGAAAATGGTTTTGTCTCGGACTTCTTTGGGACCACACAACTACACCCCACCCACGCACAAACAATAGTCCGCATACAAACGAAAACAAATAAGTCATTAGTTGAAACGCTCACCAAGGAGTTCATTATTGCATACGAAACATTCAGCCAACGTAAATTCTTTTGTAAACTCTTCATTTTAAAAACTGTCTTGTGCATTTCAATAAATAAAACACGGTACCTAGACTTTAAGCGCAGTACTAGATTGACGGCTAGGTCTCGTTATTTTACAGTTGAAATTGCCGGATGTATAGGATATAAACTCCTATATTTTACGGCCAATAAGTGAAGTACAAACGAGTGAGAGATGCCTTCAAATAAATCTCCCTAAATTCAGTAGATACAAAAAAAACTTTTTTTTTTAATAATTCTGTACAAACACGACTCCGAAGTTAAATAAATGGTTTCTGCGACCTGATTCGACATGAAAAATCACGTGATATGCTCTCTATGAGCGGTTGAACTCCAAATGGCGTGGAAATTGGTCAGGGCACGGATTACTAAAAACATTCTCGCGCAAAACTCAGATAGCAATTCGGAGCCGACCCCCAAACGATAAAAACGGCTTGTAAGCAGCAGTCAGCACCAGATCTGAAACAGGACAGCCAGCAGACAGATCTGCGAAACGGAGCAGTTTAGTCAATCAGCACAGCCTCGACACACGTTACCATGACAACGCGTCAGTCAGCGATGATATTCCTACATACAAAGCCGTGGCGAAGTAAGTCTTGTGTCAATTCTCGTTGTTCATTGTTTATTTAAAATTACTAATGTCGCCCGAAATCAGTCAGCAGTCACACACGTGTTTCATTAGCGTATGCTTCACACGCACATATTGGCGTACATATTACTTCGAACTTTGCAGACACACTTGCAACAAAATGACTTGGAACATTGCAGGCTCACTTGCAACAAAATAACTTCGAACTTGTCATATTCACTTGCAACAATTCACTTTAAACACTCAAACTATTGGTCCCTTCATGGCCACAACAAAGACAATTGAATCTAATGTGTAAATACCTGTATCTGACTGTATAAATGTTATTGTTATATTTAACTCGGTCTTCTTTTTTGCGTTGTTTATAATTTTGTATTGTAATTTGTGGACATGACACTCGGATTTTATTTTTCTCCCTAAAATCCGGGTAGACTGACCCCACAGATATAAACGCAAGTTTTATGCTAACAGTTTCTTTTCTCACACTTCTCGCTTGTGCAACTCTCTTCCAGCATCTTGCTTTCCATTCAAGTTTGATCTTCAAAAATTTTAATCGTTATGTTCTGTCTTCTTAATTTCTGTTCGTTTATCCTCGCTCCTTAATATTTTTTATTTTTCTTATATTCTTTAACATTCATTAACTCCTACCCCCGCCTTAGTGGCTTTGTGGCCTTACTTGGAGTGAAATGGTAAACAAAAACACCTTTTTATTACAACTGATGGTTATTCCTTTTTCTATCTTTTTCTTCACAGTCCTTATATTATATTACTGAAATTCATATACAACAAAACCTTTTTTGATGTACCAAAAGTAACTGCCTCTCTAGCCAGAGAATAAAGTTAAATCAGTGCATTACTGACCGAGCCGTATCTGGATAAGAGATTGTTGTTTGTGTTCTGTTTTGTGAAGTTAAAGGTGGGGGAGCAGGGGGCGTCTGTTAAGGTGGTTAGCTGATCTCTGTTGCAGATGCCTACTCAGACACATTTGTGTGTTTTTTTTTTTGTTCAACACCCACATAACACACTGCAACTATAATGAGCGTACCTTAGTTACAGTTTCATAGAGAGGGCGCATAATCTGGCGTGATCAGCGGTCTGAACAACGGCAGTACGCCCAAGCCCATCGGTGACTTGTGACTTCGAGCTAACCCAACCATCGATGACCTCCACATAGCTCTCTACCCAATTTAACCCACAAGGCTTGGATCAACCCGTCATATGGTTTTCAGACACTTTCTAAAGGTGCTGCATGCAGGCATGTCTTGGACATCAACAAGTCACTCTCCTGACAAATCGACCATGCTGTGATTCGAACCCGAGTCGGAAAGCGAATGTTCTAACCACTCGATCAGTAAGGTAGTAAGTAGAAATGTAAAGAATTCTTATCTTTAGTCATTGGTTTTCGGTCAAACTAGTGTAATCTTTTTTTTTTCACTACCCCAGGATATATCGCAACTTTACTGTCTATGAACTCTAGTTTGTGATAGCAATAATTAATCTATAATTGATTTGAAGTGATGTTGTACTTTAGCGTCTCAAATAAATTTCTGTGAGAGTACTTGACCAGTTATAAAAAAAAGTCTTAAGCAGATATCAAATCTAATAATAGTTATGGTAATATTAGCCGTTTCCTTATAAGGAATATTCGGTATTTATTGACCGAGCAGCCAGTGCTACTTGAGTTAACGCTTTTCTTCACTTTTTAGTAAACGAGCTGCGATAAAAGTGTAGTATCTGTTCCCTCTCATCTCTAATGGTAATGGTAATATTAGCTGTTTCCTTACAAGGAAATATTCTGCAATCATTCACCGAACAGTCGGTTGAAATTTATAAAATCTTTCAATTAAAACAATTTTTCATGAAAATTAGTTTCTCAAGTTCACTGTTATTTCTTTTTATAGCATCAGTGGGATATCCTCCCTAACCTTTTCTTCAATGTAGTGTCCAGTTCTCGTACAATCGCCGAAGTTAAGCAACGTCAAGTCTGGTCAGAACAGAGATAGGTGACCGCTTGAAATACCAGGTGTTGTGAACTTGGGTGTGCAGCTGGTGTAATGGATAACGGCTCGGAATTGTTAATCGGAGATTCGAGTTTCGATACGATGACCGGAGTTAAGCAACATCCATCCAGGTCAGTATTTAGATGGAAGACCGCTTGGGAATACCAGGTGCTATAAGCTTGGATGTGAGGGTGGTGTAATGGATAAAGGCTCGGAATTGTTAATCGGACAGTCGAGTTTCGATACGATTACCGAAGTTAAGCAACATCCATCCAGGTCAGTACTTAGATGGGTGACCGCTTGGGAATACAAGGTGCTATAAGCTTGGATGTGCTGATGGTGTAATGGGTAAAGGCTCGGAATTGTTAATCGGAGAGCCGAGTTGCAATATCAGTTAGGTTCGTTATATTTACTTACGTTCAACTACCCTTGCGAAAGGCATGAATCCATCTCTTCTCTCCCCAACTATGGATTAAATAATAAGTCGCGTGTCAGTAAATCATTATTATCTCAAAAGATTCTTACAACCTAAAAATATTCTTCTGACTTTAAATAACCTGAGAAAGGTAGATAAGCCGTATAAAACAAATCACTTAATCACACATTTGATGTGCTGTGGAACGTCTGTAGTGAGTGCGAAATAATAATAACTTCATTCACCCATCCCCTGAAAATTCGGCGGACTCGAAAGAAGAAGGAAAGAAATTTATGAGCTTATGTAAGATTTTTGCCTTTCACAAAAATTAAACAGTTGAGTGGGAAGAAGAAGAGGAAAAAATTGCGAGCCTATGTGAAATTGTTTTGAGCCAATGAAAACCTTGCCTTCACATAAATTAGCTAGTCGGTCAAGAAGAAGGAAAGAAAGTGGAGAGCCCATGCGAAATTCTTCTTAAAATGAGGCGAAAAATAAAATGAAAGTGTTTGAAGTCACGTGAAAAGTTTCGTTTCAGTTCCTTGTCACCAGCGTTGTAGTATTCGCCAGTGTAAAATTACTCGCCAATTATATTATTGACCTCTAACCAACACGCGACACTTTAAAGAATTTTCTCTCAACATTCCAAGAAAGCGAAGTATTTCAAACTCTCTTTGTCTACGTTTGAACGTATGCAAACCATATATCTTTTGTGAGCAAAGAACTCTATTACCCTTGTTTTAGACATTTTTTTTAATATTAATTTGTGTCAGATCATTTAATCTGTTGTATGAACATTTCGTCTTCATAACAATACATTAAAACTACGTACTTTAATCATTCTGATTTGTTTTCCTGAAACGATATACTGACACAACTTCAAACGTGTAATCTTATCTTTTTTTTTTTGTTAAAATTACCTGTGTGTTTCCTCATCATTATAATCCTTCATTAATCTTCTTGGCGTGGATAAAACAACTATTCATTTTAACCTCTAAGCCCCACACCACTATACGTCAAAATCTTGATTATGTTATTATTCTCTCTTCAAGTTACATGTGATATCCATTTTAGTTGTTGCTGAATGTCCTCGAGTGATATGGTTTTTGTTGTTTGGTTCAGTGGTCAGGTGAACATTTTTATTGATTTCATTTTTATAATATACTCTGGAAGATTGTTTCAAAATCGTATGAATGAAAATAGAAACTTTTGATACTATAAAAAAAAAAATACTCAAAAATTGTTACTGAGCAAGGTCCTTCAACACAGCCACCGTGATAATTTGGGACATTAAAATATTTAATTGCTTTGATTTGATGACCTTTCAACGATGAAAAAAAGTTGTTTTTTTTTAAATGTCCGTGTTTTATTAGTCTTGAACTCTTGTCGATTGCTTATACCAAATGTCAAATGATGAAACGTCTTTACGATATGAGCCACATGACTCCTGTGTAACGATCACAAATGTCATAATGTTGGCAAGTTTAGACACAGAATTGGTAGTTGCTGGCTTAGACACAAGAATAGCTAGTAAGGATTACTTACTAGTAAAAAGGGAAAAATGGGAAAAAGAAGAGCGGAAGCTTCAGTGGGGTTTCAAATCACTTATCCTTCCAATGACAAGTATTTTTTAGAGGCGTTGACGGAAAAGACAAGGCTCTTATTCAAAATGAAATTTGCAAAGAAACAAACATTTAATCAAAATGAGAAAATATATTTACAATATACAAATTGTAGAAATTACAATATAGGCCTTGCACAAAATTTCCCTTGTGCGCCTAAATCTATCAAGACAGATTAACCGTTCTCCAAAATCTGTTTTCTCTTAGAAAACAACAGTTCATGAAAAACATTTTTTCTTTAACAACGAAGGAAATTTAACAACTTTCTTTTCGAGCAACAATTCATATAAATCAATTTCATAGAATCGAAAGAAATTTACTTACTTCTAAAAGTTTATAATTCAAAATTTCAAAGGTTCAAATCTTGAAATTCGAAGCTAGTTCTTTTGGTCATTTAGACCAAATATTCATGGTTTCGGAACAGGCATTCTCAAATATGAGATAAACTCTCGCGGGTTTAGAAAATACATTCTTAGTAAAGAGAATTTTCGTAGATTTCTTCTTCTTCTTCTTCTTCTTCTTCTTCTTCTTCTTCAGCCGTAGTCCTTTCTCCCCGATGGCGGCCTTTTGCCCGAGTGTGGTCCTCTTCTGTTCTTGTAATCAAAAATTCCCCGCTTATATAGCATTCAAGTAACTCCAATCAGATCAAAATCGAAGTCCTTACAGGGCGTTACTTTTTATTTTTTATCTCTATTGGTTAAAAAATCGATTCCAATCAAATCACATCCGTTTTCAATTAAAATTTAACTGGGTTTTGACAACACGAAATGTTATCCTTGTAAAATTTTGCCACAAAAAATTTAAACCGTCTGGTTTCATTTTGGCGGGTTTTATTTTTATAGAATCAGTTTGGAGCCCCTTTATTTTCTGTTGTGGTTTCCTCCCTCTAAAGAGTCTATGTTGGACTCTTTCGCCTACTATAAGATTAGTAGGAGATATTGTGGTGTCCTCTCTCTAAAGAGTCTATGTTGAACTCTTCCGCCTACTATAAGATTAGTAGGAGAGAAGGCCTTGGGGGGAACAATCTAATAGATTGTTCAACTATCAAACTCTCTACCGCAGGGCAAAGTTTCGTCCGGGGAGGTAGACAGTCCATGAACCCGTTTATGCGGCTTCTAAGGGAATATTTTTGGCCGAGCCTACGGGCTCGGAGAACCCACGGTAAACTCGGCCTTGTGCCACATACATCCCTCGTGTGAGGGGGGGGTGCTGTTAAATATTAACAGTCGAATAGATTGAACGTTGGGTCAACCGACACACACTCACTCTTCTGTTGTACTTACTATTTAATTATATATGATATATCTGCAACCCTGGTTGTGTTATTGCTTAACCATCTACTTGGTCACAACATTTTCAATTCTTTACACATCAATTTTTATTCGTATTTTTTTTTTTTTTTTTTTTAAATAAACCGTCTGGCTTCATTTTGATCGTTTTATAATTTGTTTTTCCTATAATTTATATGTTTATTAAAAAATAATTTTTATATTAATTTTTACTGTACACCTTCGAACATTTTCTTAGTTTTTCATACAATTTTATTTTTAATCGTTTTTTTTTTTTTTTTATATATAATAGCTTCTGTATTAATTTTTGTACAATTCCGACATTTTAATTATTTTTTCTCATCCATTTCTAATATTGTTTTTATTAAAATAATGTTTATACAAGCAATGGAGTAGAACACTACTTACAGATAAGTTTTTTCTGCTTATATCGGAGGTTACAGATTCAAGTTAAAAAGTTACAAGTTTAAAAAATGTTAAAAAGTTATGTTTAATAATGGATTGTTAACCATCACTCTACGACGGATCTCTAGAGAGTGTTTCGCGTAGCTTCGTGTGGCACAAGGCAGCAAAATGTAACATCGTGTCACTAAGTTTTTTAAACTCATATGAGTAGTAGTTTTAGCTTTCGTGAGACTCACCAATTCATAACAAATTTAAACATCATTCTACAAGTGCCCCAAAACTGGCTTAGTGTGGCACATGGCCACACTAAGCCAATTTCAGGAGCACTCAGAGATTCACACCGAGTAAGACATCTCAGCGTATTGAAAAAACGAAAAAAAAAAGTTTACATCTCTGAAGTGTACACTTGAGAACAGTTTTTTTTAGTTATATTTTTAATTTAGCACGTGTAAACTTAGAGCACCTAGTAATGTTCGAATTCGCTACACGAAGCTTGCTAAAAAACATTTCCCTACTGATGGGACCCTCGATGGGAGTAGTGGCAATAGCAGTTGAGGAGGAAATTCTGTAGGGCTAAATTGATTTATTTATCTTTTTTAGTCGGGAGTAGGGGAGCTATATCGTAACCCGAAGCCAACAACGAACAATTTGAAATCTAATGGGGGACCCGTGCTCGGCAGCACCTCTCCATTGCACTAACGAGGAAGAGGGGGTTTTATGGGCATACCCTGATGTCTGTAACTGTAACAGCTGAGGGAACCAGACAATTTTTGGAGTGTAAGTAAAGATGACCCACCAATACTGCGATTTTTAAATTATCGTCAGTGGATAACTGACCTTCCCCTCCCCACCTCACGTAAACATACTGACCATATGTCAGATTTTTGTTTTGACGGGGTAGTGGCAATACATAAATAAATAACGGGTGGTTCAGGGAAGTGATTTTTTTTTAACGAGTTGAGCAATTTTTCTTTCCTTTTTTTTCTTTATTTTTTTCTTTTTTTTTTTTTTACGAGCTTAGCTTTGTAGTAGTAGTAGTAGTAAGAGTAGTAATTGTAACGGGAGTTGCAGTAGTGTTGAACTTAAGTATCAGCAGCAGCAGCAGTAGTTGTAGTAGTGATAGTGGTAGTAGTAGTAGTAGTGAGAGTGGCACGCAGGCGCACCCAAGTCCGGACAGCAGTAAAATGGCGGACTGTGAGTTTAACGTCGACAATCTGATCAAGCGACTGCTGGAAGGTGGGCAAAAACTATCTAACAAATACAACAACACTAAACTAGGGAGAGACATACACTTATATAGCAGCTATGCTCTGTATTTGTTAAAAAAATGCTTCTCTTTCTTTTGCTTAAAAAAAAAAAAAAATAGAAGACACAACAACATTGGAAAAATGTCTTAGTTGTTCCCTAACTTCGTTTCTTTTAACGCCTTTTTTTCCTTCTCCTATATGTGTTGAAATGTGTTGTGCGTGTAAAGCTTGTTTTTTTTTTTATGGCATGGGATTCTTTCAGAACTTAGCTCGGATAGATGAACAATTTTTGTATTTTTTTTATTTTTTATTCATGATTTTTTTCATTTAATAAGGGCAATTGTCTAAGGTTGTGTTATTTATTTTTATTTATATATTTAAAAAAAAAATGTTTTTTTTCTTTTGAGAAAATCTCTTTATTTAAAAAATTACTATTTTAGTATTTTTAACTTAAGTCTTTCTTTTAGTCACTTTTTTTTATTGTTATTTTATAGTCGATCAACCTGTTAGTTTTTTTTTTATTTATAAACTTAAATATATTTAAATTTTTTTTTTTTTTTTTCTAACCAAAAAACATTAAAAATAACAAAAAACAGTTATTTAAATTCCTGAAGTTTAACTTAAAAATTCAAATATATATTCAAAATTTTAGCAGAATAAAAAAAATTAATAAATACTTCTTTTTAAGTCTTCTGGTATGTAATACAAATTTTATGTCCCATATTTTTAAGAAAATGTTTTTTTAAATAAAAAGTAATTAAGAAAGAATTAACTTTTTGTTTTAGATTTCTTTTAAGCCAAAATCCTTTCATTTTTTTTTCTTTTTGATTTTTTACTTTAAAAACTTTTGTCAAATATGAAAAAAAAACATTTATTCTTGGTTAGTAGTTTAAAAAAATGTAAGGAAATTAATAAATTACTATTCATTTATTAGTTTGTATTCAATACTTTTTTTCATGACAATTTGTATTCGTTTATTAAATTTTATTTTTATTATTATATATAAAAAAAAATCAACTGTTTTACTTTTTGTCAATCATTTCTTTCTCCTTTAAGTTTTAAGAACCACATTATTTTTTAATTAGAAAAATTTAAATCTTAATTTCTCTATTTTTTTCCCCTTTTTAAAATGTCCTATTTTCTTTTTTAAAAGTACATTTTTTTAGACTTAATGTTTTTCTTCACCTAAAGAATTTCTTTCAGTTATGTTTATCTTCTTATTTTTTAACTCGATTTTTTTCTCTATTATGTAAAAAACAAAAAAAAACTTACATTTTTTTATTTCTCTCTGTAAAAAAGTTTTATTTATAAATTCAGTTGAACAATTTTAATTTATTTAAAAAAAATTAAAACATGTTTATTAACAACCCATTGATTAGTACTTCGTTTAAAAAATTTGTTGACTGATTATCAATTTGTTTTATTTATTAAGAAAACTAAAACAAAACGGTATGTTTTGTTTTTGTTTAATTTAAAACTTAAAAGTATCTGTTTCGTGAAGCACAGCTGATTGACCGATATAAATTTAAAAATGGTCTATTTTTTTTTTTATTTAGTGGGTTATCATCACTCATGCTTTTAAAACCCTGACTTCGGTAAATAATTTAAAAAAAATCATAAACCTCTAATTATTGTGTAAGATCTGGCTGAAAATATTCTTAAAAGGCTTGAACCAGAGTTGGCCAGTTAAGAAAAAGCTGATCTCTACGAGATGAGCCATGACATTCGCCTCTGACCGAGCAGTATCGAGTTACTTTTAAAAAACGAGTACAAGTTTACAATACATGCTCAACAATTCTTCTTGCAGTGCCAGACCCCAACTTAGTTCTTTCCTTCGCGAATTATTAAATTTAAAAAGCTTACTTAAAGTAGTTGGTATAACTATAAAGTATAAACATCCTTGTTTTTGTTTTGTTTTGTAAGATGAATGTTTATCCTTTTAGTCGATGAAAATGGCACAATTGTGAATATGACATGTGTTGGTTTAAAAAAATAAAAATAAAAAAATGGGGTCATTTGTATCTTTTTTAAAAATTTTTCATGACTATGATTTACTACTCGATATTACTAAAAAAAACTGAATATTCTGTTTTAGTGTGTCATTTTTGCCTGATAATTATTGAAATTTTACCATTTTTTTTTTTTTTTTTAACCTATAAGTTAAAAAAAAAATGAACATAGCTGTTGATGTACTCGTGAATGAGTTTATTTTTTGCTTGTTAGTTGCTACACTTGTGACTTGATACTTTAAAAAAGTATATAGAGGTGGTAGACATATTTTTTTTTTTAAAATTATATTGATTGCAGATTTTCTTAAGCGTACAGGTAGACTGACAACAGTACATATATGGGTATATACGGAAAACCTTTCTCAGGCTTGGTTTTGATCCTCGTCTCTGTTTTTAGGGTGTTACCTTGCTGATTAGACAGGCGCGACGGCTTTACTAGATGAGCAACATCGTTCACCCCCTCTTGTCTTCAAGATGACCGGGAGAACCGGTCAAGTAGTCTTTTTCTGTTTTTTCATTTTTATGCTGATTTTGTTAGACTTATGACTTTAAGTAGAAAGAAATTGTTTTTCTTCCTTAACAGATGGACTCGTAAACAATCTTTTTTTTTTTTTTTTCTCAACATTATTTTTTTTTTTTTTTTTTTTTTTTTTTTTTTTTTTTTTTTTTTAACTGAGTAAAAACTGGAAAAATTAAATTTTCTTGGACTCTTGGTTTATAGAGCTTTAATTACAATGAATAATTCATTTCTTTATAATGTTGTTTTTTTTTTTTTTTTTTAACATATTCACCAATTATTTCAAGTCTTTATGAACTGTTTTATTTTAAATGCAATAACTTTTTATTTCCAATTAACATTTTTTTTCAACGATTCGTCCTACTCCTAAGTCTTTCTTATTCCTCTCTCAGCTTTGGTAAACTTTTATTTAAAAACTTAAAATTGAAAAACATTTTAAATTAAAAATACACGTCAGAGCTTAGCATTTTAATTTAACAAAAATCATTTTCGCGCACACACAGTTTTCTGATTATAATATAATACTAGCAGGAGAGCCCGGCGTTGCCCGGGGATGTAGCAGTAAGAGATAGATCAAGTATCGACAATCATAAAGGCTGAAAAATAAAATTGACAAAGATTATTGTTTAAGGTTGACGTGCACGCATCTCTTAATTAGTTTTTTTTTTTACGAATTGGTCAAATTCAAACTCAAACAAAAACATTGTTTTCAATCGTTATGAGTCTATCGATTGAATAGAATTTTATTATCTTGTAAATGGAATTTTTAAAGTATTCTGAATGTAAAAATAAAGAAAAAAGTGTGCAAGACAATAAGAAACACTACCTGCCAAAAAAAGTGAAGTTTTGTTAAAATCGGTTGAAAAATGTACGAAATCCGATCCCATATATAAACAAACACACACAAACAACCTGGGTTTTATAATAACTATAACTTGATATGAGTTGTCCCCCTTTCATTCTGGCGACAGAATCGTGTTTTATTGTGTTTTCAAATTGATTTCGTGCGAAAACAATTGTTTTTTCCAATTTTTGGCACTGTCGGAACAACTGCAAGGTAATTTTACGTAGTCCTGTGAAGTTTTGTTGAAATCGGTTGAAAAATGTAGGAAATCCAATATATAAACGTACACACACACACAATCTGCGTTTTATAATAAGTAAATTATATTTCTGATTAATTTCGTTACAGTTCGAGGATGCCGGCCGGGAAAGATAGTGCAGATGACAGAGTCGGAAGTCCGCGGACTCTGTTTAAAATCCAGAGAGATATTTCTTAGCCAACCCATCCTACTGGAATTAGAGGCACCTCTGAAAATATGTGGTGAGTTTTTAATCACAAGGGCCACATCTGTTATTGTTCCTATTATAAATTGTCATGCATACCACATACAATACCTTATGATGACTGACACAGGCACAAAAACCCATGGTCAGGGATGACTGACTAATAATTAATTAACATTTACTATTCGAGCGTAAACGTTTTGACACATTTCAACTTGTTAGGTGATTTTGATTCTGGAGTTTTCAGATGATGAAACTCTAAATTCGATCGGCATATATCCCAACCTTCGTAAGATGATAAGTGTATTTATAATAAAAAATCACGATGTGTAAAGACCAGAACGTGTTCATTATTGTAATAAACATGCTCTGGCCTTTATAATATTATATATATAAAAAAAGAATAATTTTCTTAAAAAAATTTTCTTATGAGAATGTGTTGATTTCTTATTTGCTAGTTGTGTTATAGATTGAAAAGAGACTCCACCTTTTTTTATTTTATTTTTTTTGTTTTACACGAGTAGTAGTATAATTACTGGTATTTAAATTTTTTTTGAGTGAACATAGAACTCCTAAAATAGATTGTTTTTAATAAAAAGGCGCGCGTATGTAAAATGAGGTCATTTTATACAAAAACCTATAATAGTGGAATATAATTTTTTATTTTTTTTTTTTTTTTTTTTTTCACAGTATATAGCTTCAAATTTTCTGTTAAGTGTTATTTATGTCGACCATATGCTATCAAATGGGTGTGTGTGTATAATATATATGTATACATTAAAATGAATTTTTAAAAATGAAAAAATTAATCTTGAAGCTTTATTTAAAGCTAAATGATTAACTATTTCCAGTAAGCAAAATACTATGGTTTATTTCAAATAGAAATTATATTGATTGGAATTTACACTTTTTCATTGCTTTGAGAAATCATTTAAATTCAGCCATTTTGGATACATTTGTAAACAAAAGTTAATTCTCAGTTTTAAAAATCTTCCCAAAATAAAGTATACTTTTCTGAAACTTTGAGTAATATTAGCCAATTTAAAGTAATTTATTTTGATTTGAAAAAAAAAAATTATTTTAAGTTTAAAATGGATTTTTAAAATAAAAAGTAGTGGTGATTATGCGCTTGTCCTCATAGATCATTTAATAGGCATTGATAAGGTGTTGACAAATTTATTTATTGTTCTACGGAGATTTTATCTGTTAAAACTTAAGATAATGATACGTGAGTGCCTTTTTTTTTTTTTTTTTTTTATATACATAATCTTTAAGTAATCAGTGATAATCTAATTTTAGGAATGTTGAATTTAAATTTATTATAGTAAACACTCTTAATTTCTTATGTCATGTATGGTCAACCATACTTTCAAACAGGGGGACATTGTCATATTTTATATACATAAAAAAAAATTATTTTAAAAATCTTGGTGTAAAATACTTTGTATTAATCTTTTGTATTTTTAATTAGTAAATATATTTTTCACTGGATAACAGTATCACCTAACTCTATTAAATTGATGCAGAATTTTAAATGATTTTTATATTATAAATTAAAAAAAAAAAAAATGAGAACAATCATTGCAAAAATTCATTATTCATCAAAAAAAAAAAAAATTTTTTTTTTTTTTTCTTAAGACAATAGTGTTAATAAATTTTGTTTACAAAAGCAATTAAAATCTTTTCTAATTAAATAATGTCATAGTTTTATTGCAATTTTTATTTTACGATTTGGAACAGATTTTTGGGAAATGTACAGTAGTTTGAAAAAAAATATTTTCATTCTCCAAGAGGTTCTGCTTTTAACATCAAACAAATTTTGAGATTGAAATTTCATGAAATTAAGTAAGTGGGGGTAACGTGTTAAAAAAGAAAAAAAAAATTCAAAAGTAATTTCATTTCTGAATAAGTCCTGAAAGTTTCATTAAAATCCAACAATTATTTGATATTTGGAAGAATTTCCAAATCAGTGTTTTTTTTTTTTTTACTTGAAAAATAGTTCAAAAACACTAATTGTAAATATTATGTCGACTGCTGATGCAAAAAAAAAAACAATTGTTAACCAAAATTTCAAACGTGCTAGAAAGGATTAAAATTTAATAAAATAATAAAGAAAAAAAATACTTTAGTTACTCTTAATAACATGAACATTTTGATGATAAACCTTTGTTTTTATTAAATTTGGGGCCTTTTTTTCATTATGCTATGCTGTTTTTCAGCGGCAATTGAAGGTGCCTATTGTTATGGAAATAAAGTGAGAAATGGAGATAGTTACTTGTATAAATTGTAGAATCCAATGAAATTGAGAGCATAGCGTAATAAAATATAAAATTCTATTTCTACATCACCAGAAGAGTCCACTACATAGGAATATTTTGTTGATTCAGTATGTCCTAAAATAAATAAGTTGATGTTTGTTTTTTGTTTTTTTTATCAGGAAAAAATTCAAGATTTTGAAGTGGAATAGTTTAGTTGTGATATTTGTTTTGGTATAACCAACGTTTGGTACTACACTATATTGTTGGAGCTCTGACGATTACGTCTAGCATGAAACAGCCTGTTGCCTCTGAGTGTTTGACTTCAATGCTAAATTTTATATTTACACATGCTCTATCTCTGATATTGAGCACTTTATCCCATAAATATAGCACACCTTAAAACTATATTTCTTTATTTGTGTGTGTGTGTGTGTGTGTGTGTGTGTATATATATATATATATATATATATATATATATGCGCACACACACACGTTATCACCTGACCTAAAATATGTTCACACACCTTTTACTACCTTGTCAAGTAGTTAATTAACTGAGAAGAAAGGACTAAACACCAATTGTAAAAAGATGTATGTTGCCATCAACAGAGATGGGCCAACATGCGAATTGGAAATACCAAATTTAAACAAGTACAAAAACTTACATATTTAGTGTTTTAACAGAGGATGGAAAATGCGACAACTGAAATCCAAAGGTGCCTTTGGGATAGTGAAAGATGCCTTTCAAAGACTAAGCAAATTATTTAGAAACAAGAGGACTGAACTGTTACATAATTTCAATCCCCCTATATGGGAGAGAATGTTGTAGAACTTATCACAGATGAAGAAGAGACCCGAGGCACCAGAAATATTATTCTACAGGAGGATGCTGAGAATACCATTGACTGAATATGTGAGTAATGACACAGTTTTAGAGAAAATAAAAACAAAAAGGACATATGTAGCATAAGAAAGAGTTGAAATTTCTAGTATGCCTAATGAGGGAAGAAGGCTTGGAAAATTTGACACTCACAGGATATATGGAAGGCAAGAGGGATAGTGGAATACGGTGAATAACCTACCTAACAAGCTTGTGTAAATAATGTTAGAACAGGGATAAGAGAGATAGCAAAAAAAAAAAAAAAAAACTTTAATGAAAGCCATGAATGATGGTTAGGAAAAAAAATTTAATATTTAATCACCAAATTTTATAATTTATAACATCAAATTTGTTTTTGGCATTATCTGTGTTATATTTTGAAAGAGATTGTTAGTTGTCAGGAATTAATGTGAGCATTATTGGTAAACTAGAGCAATTCTGTCACATTTATCTAAATTGTTTCCTTCATTACAATCTTTCACTTTAAGAATATGAATTTTATTCTATTTTATTTACTTTTGCCAGTAATAAAAAAAAAAAAAAAAAAAAAAAAATATATATTTTTGAGGATGAGATGACTAAATGTGGAAATATTAGTAAAATGTACTCTGCTTTTTGAAAATCAAATGTAGATTCTCTAAAGTTTATATGTAACTTCATCTCTGTGTGTGTAAAAAGCCACCCTATTGGGTGTCACTTAAACTAACTCCTGCAGAGGGCTCTTGATTAGGCCTTCGGCTTGTTCAGAAGTTTGAGAATCCCTAAGTCTTTGCATATTCTCAACATTTGAAACTCTCCTGGCTGCATTTGATCTGAGTTTTCATTTGCACTGGACTTTCATTTCCTTGTTGAAACCTTGGCTCTTTTGGTTTCAGTCTGGTCCTCTGTTGGCAGAGATTTCTTTTTCCAAGACATACTGCTGCCATAAGCAAAAGGCAACAATAAAACTCAAAGTTGATCGCTGCATTTAAGTATTGCATTAATATTTAAGCTTGTCTTTTGGAAGTTAAAGATAATTCTTCTGCTGCCACTTAATTTAAGGACAATTTGATGTATGTGGGTCCTTACTTTCAGTACAAACAATTATTTTTATTTTCTGGGTGACTTATGCTAGATTTTGCAATTAATTTCAATAATTCCGAAATTTATTTCCAAGTTATAAAAATTGTTATCATACAAATAAATATGTCGTAAAAAAAAAAAAAAATTGCTGAAAACGATCGCAGTAATGAAAACTTGGGAATCCAAAATGGTATATGTTTGGCTACAGCCTCTTGGGGTAAAGTTGAAAAAGTGTGACACAAATATATATACACGCGCACACACACACACACAGTTAATAAGAACATGAATATATTTCTGAGGTCTTAAGTTTCATATTTGTGGACAGAAGTACTTTCAGTGATATATCAAGTAAAGATATTTAACACCTGTGCATCATTTGAACTCAAATAGCTTTGGCCAACCTTTACTCATTCCATGATAAATTCCTTTGACTCCCATTAACTACTGAATAAATACCAGTAAGTATATTAGATTTACCTGAGATATTTCAGGTCCTCCAGAGGCAGTGTGTCTAATAATCCACCTGTTGAGATATCAAATATACTTATAAACCTATAATCATAAGTACATTATGGATCATGTATGTAAGTATCGTGTGTCGGCTGCACCAGAGAAAGATCTCACAGACTTGGATATTATTGGTATAAATTGATTTGAATAACAGCAAAAGAATGTTAGCTTTTTGCATATCTAGGATTTTGGAATTAACATTTTTATTGGACTTTCATGAAACTTTGCAGTTATTCATATCACTTTGACTGACCAGGATACTGATTTAGCTCTGCTGGTCACAGCGTTTTTGATGTTTTAGTTACTAAATGTTGCCATTTCGCT